CTGCAGGTAACAAAGCAGGCTGTCACACCTTTTCATATACGTCCTCGAACTAGCGGTCCTTTGAGATCTTGCTCGCTGTTGCGTAGCGTGTGAAAAGGACACGGAACTCGTTATAAGACATATTGCTCGACATTATCAGCTTGTAATAGTTCTGACGTGCTCTTTAGACGCGGTTGTGGTCGAAGAATCGTTCGTCCAAGGCTTTTAGTACTCCTGCTGCGTCTTGTACGTTTTCAGCGTCAAGGTCCATGTAAGCCAAGACAATAGACTTAGCCTCTCCCGATGTGCAAATGAAGTAGGCTTTCACTTGCGCAAGTCTTTTGCGGAAGTTGCCCGAGTTAGCTTCGATAAAGAGTTTCATATCTATTTTCTAAGCGTCGTATTCTACATCTCCTCAATTGTTTAAGAATAAGGTCCGAGGCCACTTCAACTTGTTGTGCTTTATCGCCAATATAAAGGTGTCGATGATTAGCAAGTAATAAGTAGAGGTTGGCCGAAGGCTCGCCGCTAAAGGTAGTAGGAGACCTTAAGCAGCTTTCCGAAGCGCTGATGTTACCGCTAACGCGATAGCTGCCTTTATAGCTTGCTGCTGTTCGCGAGTGAATATAATAGACATGTTTGTCGATAGTGTATGTATTGCTAGAATCGGTATGTAGTCTCGACGCTAGTCGTATGCTCTTAGCACCGATGGCTAAGAGCTCGTAAGTAATAAGAATCTTTCGAAAAGGATCGAAGCTTTTACGATCGCCGGTAGTAAAAGCTTCGTAAGAGAAAGGGTTAAGATAAGGCCGGCGAACGTATATGATTTAATTCGCGTTGCTAGATTAATTAAAAAGCGATTGGCTGTTTTTATAAGCCACCTTTGCAAAGAAGTATGAAATGTTTTAAGCTTATCTACCCACTCAACTAGAAAATCGTAATAAAGGTCAAGCAACGCAAATGCTGGCCACAAAGTTTAAAAGTCCTTCAAAGTCTTATAGATTTCCTAGCCTTCTTTTAGCTCTAGCAAACGAAGCTTTAGCCTTAGCTGTTAAAGGAATGTGTAGAGCTCTCTAGCGGTGACCAGCTGTTGTTTTGTGTATGTTATTATATAAGGAAGGTAAGTGGCGGAGGGTAAGAATGCTTATGCAACGGGAAGGCCAGCTATCAATCGGCTTACGAGATAAAGAACTTAATGCTAAACAATAACCTAGCAAAGAAAGGGAAGATCAATACAAGCGAAGCGTGTACGTTCTTAAAGCCTTCAAGTAGAGTATGTATTAAAGTATCAAATCGTAGCGTAACTGAAAGAGCGTTAGAATCCTTTTTGCAATCAGCTATCGGAAACTTTTAAGAAAAAAAAATTTTTTTAATGCGTTTGTAAGACCGTTTGTATGCGGTCCGTGCGCGTGCTTATCGTTTTAAAAAGGAAAGGAGTGGTTTTGAAGAGTATTCGAATAGCAAAAGCAGGTCGAATAGCAAGGAGTTCAGCTTTCTCTAAGACTGTAATCAACGGAGAGGTCTGATCAAAGCACCAATACTCGAAGATGGAAAGTGCTAGCCGTTTGTTACGCGTAGCAACGATTGATACAATGCTTCTCAGCGAGTTGGAGTTGATCTTTCTTTATGTTACGGCTGTCGAAGGCAGTATGATTGTAGTGCTACCTAAGAGTACGCTAAGTAATAAGAAAGAAAGATAAAGAAGGAAAGGAAGAGAACGAGTGCAAAAGAAGAAGTCTTGTAAGCTGCCTTGCTAAGACGGGAGCCTAAGGTCACGAGGTAACGTATGACCCTGGGCGCGTAGCAACGTGACCTCCGCGTGACCGCCATCACCACCGCCATCATCACCGTAACACGTACTTTATCTTGTATATTGCGAAAGAGCGTACGGATGCTGCTAATTATAAGTTGCGATGCTAGACTAGTGTTTTAATCCGGTTTCTTTGCTTTTAAGTTTGCAAGCTTGTCCGCTCGTTCGTTTTTTTTAATGCTTATATGCTTTAAAGACTATCGTATTCGTACGTCTCGAGTCTTTATTACTTTTTAAACGTTTAAGAACGCTTATTACGATAATAAAAAAGCATTTCCGCGAAGATATTAGATGATTAATATGCTATCGATATAAAGCTAGATCCGTTTCGCCGTCGGATAAACGTGCATTATTCGTTCGAAGCTTTTTTATGCTTTTATCGTTTTCGCGTTAAAGACGTAAAAGCAGTCGTTGATAAAGCCGTACTTATAGCTTATCTTTTATCGTTTTTAATAGACTACGTACTCGTAGCTTATTAGTCGATTGCTTTAATCGTACTATTCTAACTCGTTTGAAAAGATCGTAATGTCTTTTAGCAAGAGCTGTTATTATTATGCTTCGAATGCGGCAGCAGCTTTTTTTTTCGTTTTACTATCCGCCGGGTTTCGTTTATTCTTCGATATAAAGTACGGAAAAACGAAGCGAAAGCGAAGAACGTTTAAAAAAAGAGTTCTTAATCTTTAAATCTTAATCTCGAAGATCTTAATAATCTTCGCGCCGCGACCGCGTTATCGGATTCGCAAAAGTATCCGGCTGATTAATAAGTGCTTATCGTTTATCGTCTTTAGTCTTATTGCAAACTTAGCTTTAGCTTCTTTTAAAGCCGTAGCGCCGAAAAGAAGCTCGGTATCTTAAAAGAACGTTGCCGTTAGTATCGTTTTTTAAACCGAAAGTACTTCGCGCGCCGCGAAAGTTATCGTTTTATTAATAAAGTCAATTATCTTTCCGACTCGAGCGCTAACAACTTTTAGTTTTCCGGACTTGCAGATTAAGCGATAACGCTTTGCGTATTACGTTTCCGTGCCGTAAAGTATCGAAAGCAATACGTAAATAATAACTGCTTTACGTAATAAAGCTATAAAAAAACTATAGATTATTTTAGCGAGACTACGAATATGCTAAGCGATTTTCTTAGCTTTAGCCGCTCGTTCTCGAACGTATTAGCGGAACTTTAGCTTGCGGTTAAACTAAACTTTAAGCTATTATATCGCAAGTATATCTTTGTTTTTCGAACTTGTAATAATACACGGAATAATTATAATATCGATTACGAAAAGAAAAGCATACGTATTTTTCTTGCGAAAGAAGTACATTATCTCGATCTTTTTCGAAGCGAAAGCGATCTTATAAGTGTTACTTTACTTAATAATAGAATTGATATCGTTTCGAAGCATAGCGATATTTCGATCGAAAGTGCGATTAACGCGATATAAGCAGATATCGTTAGCGTACTCGAAGCGCAATATCCGATCTTAATTAAATAGCTTAATTAAGTAAAGCATATAAAGCATTAATAATAACGAAGATCTTTACGGAGTGCCGCACTTTACGTCGTAAGTATTCGTGATTTCTTTTTTTAATCGTGTCGGTATATCCATATCGACCTTAGCTAGCTAGTAGTAGTAGTAGTAGTAGTTGGGGAAGCTCACCCGTGAACCATGGTTCACGGGCCACTTGGCATGCCTCGCTTAACATGTCA